AGGAGGAGGAGGAGGAGGAGGAGGAGGAGGAGGAGGGAAAAGCGATTTTAAGACGTACCCGGATGCTTGCATCGGCTTCATTGCAGGTCTGTGAAACCGAAGCCTGGTAGAGGTCAATGTACTCTCTGGAACAATTTGATGCCTAAAAACCAAGAAAACGGCTTTACAAGTTACAAAAAATTAATTCGGCTGCGATTACTGCAAACGATAGAAAGGATGAATTATATGGACCCCTAACCGGACCAAGGGGGTGAGAAATAGGTGGCCCTGCACATAATCCCAGCAAGGCTAGATATGTGGTAGTCCGCGATCAACACCACTGCGCTGATTCCTAACGATCCCGGTCGACTCATCGCGCGAAAGCCCGAGACAAATCAATGCACGTCATTTCATTTGATTGGGCGCAGGCGTCAAGCCTTCTAGGTAGCAAAGACAGACTGACACAACTTGCGTGAAGACATTGTTGGTTGCTAGCGCTTGGGAGAACACTTTTTAAATCTCTTTCTCGCAGTCAACGCTGTCCAACCTTATCAGTCTTCCCTGACTTCTGATTTAGCCAACCTTCGCTTTATCGACTCAATTATTTCGATAAAGTATCCCTGTGTCCTAACCCTACCTCAAGCCCAAACATAAACTAGACTCTAAACCTTAACATTGCAGTAGAGGGCTATTTTGATTCCGGTTCGTTAGGGGAGCCGTTTGTGCGGCTAAATATTTGGTACCAGATAGCAACTCAATTCGCCCATTACGGCAGTCGTTCGACTAATGATTTGATTGGTTAATTGACTGGCACAGCCTGCACCAATCACAAGGATTGTTTCCATAGAGACTACAGATAGGAGTCCACCAATCGCAAACCCAGCTTCAGATGGAGCACCGGGGTGGGTTTGAACGCATGTGATGCCTTCAGGGGGCCAAGAAGTGGAGTAAAATCGTGCCACTTACTGTGGTGAGATTCCACTTGAGAGACTCCAGCAGGCAGGACACTCGTGAGGCTAACTGCTTAGCGCTACTCTCGACAGCAAGAATCGAGGAGAAGGCGCTTTGGGCATCCATCGGGGAAACCTAAAATCAAACGTAAAACGATAAGGGTTACAACAATCAGAACCAACACACACACATAGATGCAATCTAGAGGCTGGGCGAATGGAA